TTTAGTTATATATTATAGACTTATAGAAAGAGACCTTCTAAAAATGTTAAAATGTATTACTGGCATGTGAAACCTTAAATTAGAGTGAATAAATGAAGATTCGGCACACCACTTCTGAAAGGTTGCTGACCCCTGATATATAGAGTGCTCTCGTTGGGCTGACATTAATTAGACAAAAACAAATATAAAAAAAGGGAGGGATTTTTGACCAAGTTTATCTGCTCCCAATTCAGGTCTTGCTGGTACCTGTAATGTGCATTATGAGGGAAACCTCTTTATGAAATGGGTCACAGTTTACTTGAAAGTGAGGTGGCATAAGTCTTCTACTGAGGCAATCTCCTCAGTGAGCCCAACAGAAAGTTTCCAAGTAATGGGGAGAAAAGCATTAGGTTGCCAAGCTTTCTGGTCCTCTAAAAAACATCTGTTTTTCTGGGACTGTGTTATTTAAAGTGTTTGGTTAGCAACTGGCAATGATGCCAAAAAACTGTTTACTTAAAAAAAAAAGGAAGGGCTTGAGCAAAAAGAGGAAAGAGGGTGTGACATAATATAGAGTAAGATGTAGTTTTTTTTATTGGATGGATTTGGTGGTGTTTTGGTTACTGTTGCTATGGGACACATCCTTTAGGCCACATGCTTATTAATCATGGAAGAATGAGGGCAATGAACTTAAAAATGTCACAAGGCACCCTCTCTGTGTGGTTCTCCCTGTTAGCTTCCAAACAAAATAAAACTCTCTACTTTAAAGCATGTCTTTTTGCTAGGAACAGGTCCTTTTGGGTGTGACGCTCCCACTGAATGGCTGTTTTGTCACTGAGTTGAGGGGAGGAGCCCCATGATGAAGCTAGGTGAAACAGAATTGGTTTTTATAAATGTAAGGCCAAACAAATCTCTGGTGTAACTATTAACTTTGTTTGGATGATTTTGACCAATGGGCCAAAAACAGACAGGTTATTTTTAGTAAAATGTAATCCACAATATGTAAAGACTGATGATCATACAGATCATATGCATTTCAGTAATGAGAAAAAGCTCAGAGCTGGTCTCATCAAGCCAATGAGGAATTGTATAAAAGCAGACCAAACATACTGCCTGGCCAACACTTAGTGAGGAGAAGAAGTGTGTGGTCTTCTCAAGCACATCTGGAATAAAGAAGACTTTGCAAACTACTTATTCTTTTCACAGAATTTAACTTAAGAAAAGCACTCCAGATTTTTGACATTTCACCCCTGCATTTGTTGCTTCTCCTCAAAACATGCAACTTGAAATTATGCCCGTCAACCCACAGAAAGGTTGATCCGGGTAACAGGAATATTAATGAGTAAATTCCTTTAGAGAACTAATATCAGGAAGGCCATTCCCTCTCCAGCCTAAACACTAGTCTTATGGCTTTTCTTCTGAGGATACAGAAGATTCGGATTCCATATCTCTACATCTCTCAACTTTCCAAGATATGGAAAAGTAATACCTCAAATGAGGAACCATTATAGTAACATCAGAGGAATAAATTCAAAAGGATACAGGATTTATCATGAACATAATCAGTTTTTTTTATAATATAGTCAAGAAACATCAGTTCTAATACCAATAATTTACGTTAACAGAGTAAAATAATTCTAGGTATGCAAGGTGCGAAATTTGGGTCTAAAAATGAGTGATGCCTCTTTTTTGTAATTAAATGCAGTAGAGAAGCGTACCTCTACTTCAAGTAATAAGACAGAAAGAAAGCTTGGGGGATTCTATCTTGGGGAGTTAGCAAGGGGTACGTGAATACTGCATATGGGATGATAAGGCAAATGGAAAGTCATGTTTACTCACTGTCTAGTCCTGGTTGAGTGATTGTCATTAGCGAAATGGATTTGGTCAGCGGAGAAGTGGCAGAAGTACAGAAACTAAATCCATGCGGCTGTGATCTTTGGCATATCTGTGGAATAGAAAACAACTCTATTAAGAAGATATGCCAAGCAATGCCCTCACCCCAACTGCAGACTACAGTCTAGTGTTTAAATGCATTAGTTGCCCATCCCTTTAAATACTGGAACATTAAAACACTCAAGAATACCTTCCCCAAAGGGATGGGCCCAACTAGGGTGGTAGGGTACAAAAACAGTGAATTGCAGCATGACAAAACCACAGAGGAATTGTAAAAGTGAAATGCAACGTCTTTAAACATGGGAAACAAATGTAAGTATGTAATAAAAATAGAGGCAAGCACAGGCTGCTTCCTTCTCTGGCAAGCCAATAAAATGTATGTTTGTTGTCTGATGACCAATGAAAATACTGCTGTGATTTCAACCCCGCCAGCTGTAGCCTATAGAGATGACATTTGCTTATGTTAAATAGAAATGTGCTGAAATGCAAGTAGAAAATATGCTTTTGGGCCTTAAATTTGGGCATGATAATAATAAGGCCTAGTAAAATATGAGTAAAGTGAGATAATTTAGAGGCAAGTTAGAGATAAATTCGGACACAATCTTAGGCCATGTTGTAAACAGATTTTGGTTTTAACATGTGTCTTAGACAAAATGTGAATATTTTAGAAGAATGCTATCTGTATTGATAGTTATTGGAATGATATTTACGTAGACATTAAGTAAGATTATGTGTAATATTAAACAACCAATGAGAAAGTAGAAAATATTTAATTATGGTAAATACGGTAAAAGGTAGGCCTAATGCTAATTAATTAAGGGGTGTTGTTATAATTGATTATATAAAGAGTAGTATGCTAATTTGGGGTACCAGAGAGAGAAAGGATTATATACTCATTCTTCTCATCCTGGGACTGGTCAGCCTGGATGCACCATTTTATCCTGGAATGTGGGTATAAATGCAGTGTATGACTATACTGTAATGCCTGTCTGCTTTAACTAATTATTTTATTTTAAATAAAGTCTTTAATGCTGTCCCTCACTGTGTCATTCACAGTCCTCCATTACATTAAATTATCTGTTACTGCCCCAGAAGCTCGAACCTTAAAGAGTTCAGTTTGGTTCTATTGCTTATCCTTAGCCTATTAATTGGGAATGCATAAATCAAGGTTACACATCAGCTGTCAGTACAAAATGGCAAGAGTCTGACACTGAGGGTCTGTAGCTGTAACAATGGACTTTCAATGAACACCATTCATCAAAGCAATGGCTAAGAGATACAATCCCATCGTAAAGCCAGCTCTCACAGATCAGTTCTCATGAGCCCTGGTTACTCCCTTCACCTTTACTTAGGCTGTGATTCAAATGCCACTTTCAACAACAGTTTGATGCTCAAGTGACAGATGCACTAAGCAACACCAATTTCCTCTATGTGAGACTCATGAAGATGTCAAAGAAAATCAATGTGCCAGGATCAGTCAACAAAGACAATCTCCACCAGTTAAACAGGGGCAGCTGAATAACCCCCAGTTCTTTTGTGTCTGCCCAGAGAAGTACAGTAACTCCTCACTTAACGTCCTCTGGCTTAACATTGTTTCAAAGTTAAGTCGCTGCTCAATTAGGGAACATGCTCGTTTGAAGTTGTGCAATGCTCCCTTATAATGTTGTTTGGCTGGAAGAGCAGCGACTTTACAAGGGAGCATTGCACAAGTTCCTCTTCTCCCCCTCCCTCCCGGCACTTTCTGGGAGGGAGGGGCAGGAGTGGGGAAGCATGGCGTCTCCACTCTTCCCCCTCCCTTCCAGAAAGCCTTAAGCACCGCCAAACAGCTTAGGACTTTCTGGGCGGGGGAAGGAGCGGGGATGCGGCGGGGGTGGGCAGAGGTGGGCCTGGAGTGGAGCGGGGATGGGAAGAGGTGGGCCTGGA